GATGCTGACCCTGAGTCACATTGAGGAAAGGACAGTGATGGTTGAGTGGGAGACTGGATGAACAGAGGTGATAGGCTGTTTCACAGAAAATGAGTCAGTCAGGAGTGACCCACACACAGGAATGATGTTTGAAGCAATGCTGTGAGCTGCAGGAGTCAGGGACATAAGTATGATCTCATGCCTGAAAGGTCAGTGCTCAAATCTGTAGAAGCATCGAACATGGGGTAGTGAGCTGGGACTTGAGTTGATTGGAAGTGTCAGCCTGAAACACACAGAGATAAAGGTTTTCTTTCTAAAAGTAATGCAACAATCCAAATCTTTCTACTTTGCTATTGTAAATTAGGGTGTATTCTGGTGTATAAATAAAAGTCTGTGTCTGAGCAGGCAAGGGACAGACTATAGCTTCATCACTTCAAGTGACACACTGGCATTCCCAGATTAAAACCAAGCTCAGTTGTATTTCAGATCCCTTCCAACTGATCCTGATTATCATCATATTAGTTACAGCATTTGTGTCAGGCTGAGCTCAACAGCATTATCTCTGTGTCTGCTGCTAGGTATGTGCTTAAGTGTTTTGCGGTCAGGGCCTTTATTTCTTTATTTTTAGGCCAAGCATCTCATTTCAGTTGAGTGTCTTGCCATTACCTTCCACTTATCTTGTGCATATATGCAAAGGTAAAAGTTTGATACTCAGTAAAATGGGTATCACCTACAGTGAAACTGAACTGCAGTGAAATCTCGGCAACAGCAAAATAAACTTCTCTTGTTCTGAGGGCTGAGAACTCTTTATATCAGGGTGAGATTAGACTCTGAGTGCAGCCTCTTACCTCCAAGTGGTGGAAGAGGATCAATCCATCCATTTTTGCATCAAAATCAACTGGAAGACCATGTAAGATCTAGAGAGGCTTTGCTGTGGAGGACATGTTGGAGGCAGATACCAAAGCCTGTCCCTAGAGTCTGTATCAGCTACAACCACTTTGATTTGAATATTTTCTCGTTGTCAAGGGCAGGTTGTTTAAATTTATGCTCTGTACAGAGATCCCTGCAGTCAGTGCTGCCCTGTGCAGGTGTTAGCACTGACATCAGGCAGGGAGGTTCCCTTCATTGCTCAGCAACACCATATCTTTCTGACGCAACCATTAAATTAACAGCTTCCTCCAAGTGTGCTGGAGGTTAACAGGATGTCAATACATAAAACAAATTTTCTTAATGTCAGTGCAGAGCCTTTGTTGTCCCTATTAGTCACAGTGCCAGAACAGAAAGGTGTTTCTGCTCCCAAGGAATCACATCTCCAAACTGGTGTGACTGGTCAACACTTTTCCACTCATTCCCGTGGCTTTGGGGTCAGCCCTTGAGCATGGAACAGTTTGGCCCTCCGGACTAATGCAGAAATCATATTTGGAAAAGTTCTGTGTAGAGCTGATTCAATGTTGGGTATTTTTTTCCTTGTATTTATAGTTATTGAGCAGTTTAATACTGGTAATTATTAAATAGGGTCACCTGGAAAGGCATAAGCACTCCAGCTCTTGCCAACAAACCACTTAAGCACCTGTTTAGAGATAAGCATACATATTAAGGTAAATGGAGTTGCTCCTAGGCTTGGTGTTGAGCAGATGTTTGCAGTTTCTGGATAAGGGGAAACTTCTTGCTTGAAATCATCATCTTAACAAGCATAAATTAGATTCTAGTGTGAGAATTAATTTTCATTAAACAAAAAATGAAAGACTTTCCCCTTGCTGAACTGCCTGGAATAAGGTAAAAACAAGGTTAAAACTTCTCCTTGAGAATCCTTAGGGCAATGCCATTCATTAGGAAGCAACAGTGTACATGTAGAGCAGTTATTGGAGGTGCACTTCAAAAATCTTTGTTGGAGCTTAAAATATCCAGGTTTAGATTTACAGACCTGATTGGGTGTTACAAAACAACATTTGGGGAGACAAGATCTCACACTAAAGCATGCCTGACATTGTCCTGCCAGAAATACTGCAGGAGTGTGCAAAAGCTGAGATGAGGAGAGCTCCTGGGTTAGCGTGTCCTGAAGAGGAAGATAAATGGTAAGAAACACTCTGAATCCCACTTCTCCCACTGCTGAAGTGTGTCAGCACCAAAACAGAGGAAAGATTTTTCCAGAGATGTCCTGCACTCTGAATTCCCACTAGGCTCAGTGGGAAACTTTATAATCCTGGCCCTTCACTTGGCGAGTGTTTGACTGTTGTGTTGGGTGGAGTGTCCCCAGCTGGGGCACGGGCAGTGTGTGCTGGTGTGTTCCCCACAGCCCAAACAGGGGGAGAGAGAGGGAAAATAAATTGTTATCAGATCTGGGATGTAATTTTGTAACATTAAAAATGGACAAGCTGCTTTTGGGGAGGAAGGGGAGGGAAGGCAGGGAAGGGCTGAGAAGCACTCCCGTTACAGGGATCTGCAGCATTAAACCAACGCGTTAAGATCTTGAGCTGTGCTGTGCCCACGGTAGCTGAGGAAAGGTCCTGCCCTGCTCCCACATGCAGATGAGGATTTTCAGGGCTAGAGCTGAAACAGGCAAGTGAGTGCATGAAGCTGAAGGTTACCTGTAGGCAGCTGTTTCTCAGGCTGTGGGTGTTTATATGGCTATTTAATTGCATATTGCTCAGTACTAAATGAGTGAGACTTACACAAATAACCACAGCAACGCAAGTGCTGCTGCCTCTGAGATAAAGGACCTTATTTGAGAAACAAATGCTGAACTCATAATACCACAGGCCCAGTGCAATTTAAAAAGTCTGTACTTATCTCTGATGAAAAGGAAAGAAATGGTCTCCTTCTTAAAAATAAACCCAAAGGTTTGAAGGACCATTCTCCCCCATTTTTCTATTCTTTTCCCAGGTTGCAAAAATAACATCTATAATGAAATGAAAACAAGCTGAATAGTTACACTCAGTGGAGGAGGGAAGAGGTAGTCACAGACAGCTGGAGCATGTCTGGGCCAGTGTCTCGGTTCTTTTCTTTCTGCTAGTTCAGTGCCACTCCAAGAATGCAGACAATGCTGGCCACGACTGTTTCATATTTGATTTCCACACTTAAATCTGTGCTTGTTAAATGAAACCCCATTGTCAGGCTGGCACTCATCCACGCTGCCTCTTTGGGTCCTGCTTCAGAGCTCACTGTCTGGGCTCAAGGGTCCTGCTCGTATCCCTTCAGTGAGGATCAGGTATGCAAAGAGCATTTTGATGATTTTGTGCTGCTTGTGGCATTGCAACAAAAGCTTTTGGACTCTTCCTGCCACCACATCCATGGATAACCCTCATAAATCTTGGTCTGAGGGCAGACAGAGTGCTGCAGGGAAGGGATGGGGGTTTGGAATTGCCTTAGGAGTGGTGGATCAATGGAACACTTGACTGGAGCCAGTCTCTGGGCAAGGTACCAGCTGTGCTGCCTGTAGGAGAAAATGCTTGGGCAAGCAGGGTCTGATTCTGTCAAGGGCTGGTACCCTGCTCTGCCTGGGGAGAGGGTGCAGCTTTGGTGATGCTTTGGGTCTTGGTGAGGTCTCAGGGATGCTCTGCTGGGCCAGGACCATCAGAGCTTTGCTGAATGTGGTCAGGAGAGATGTTGTGTGTTAGGAGCAAAGCAGGTACTGTGAGTAACAAAGGATCATTTCATATCTCCTGTAAAATACTAAGCAGGGGATGAAAATTATGAATCTTATTAGTAATTTTAGGGGATTACAAAATCCAACAGCTGTCCAGCCCTTTATACTGCAGACCCTTCTGGCCTTTCTCCCACCATAAGCTGCTTGTACACCCCTTGTGCAGTGTGACTTATCAGTCAGCAAATGCCAGTGATGCCACAGCAGGCAGAGATCTGCCCGAAGCAGTTTGCAGCCCACTGCAGCACGAGAGGAGGGAGAGGGGATAGAATGTGTATCTGGTACCATGGGGTGTGATGCTGGAGCAGGAGGAAGCATTGGTGTTTCGATTCTTCAGGTGTCTCAGAGGAGTCCACTGCTGGGTTGTTGTCATGGAAACACTGTTATTTTCAGGGATTCAAGACTGGCTCCAAACAAAGGTTAAAGGGAAGAAAAACCCCAAGGGATGGCATGCACAGAAGGTGAGATTTCCCTCAGCACAGCAAAATCTGTCATGTCTGAACCAACAGTGAGTCCTCCAAGGTGAGTGTGCTGGGAGAATGTCAGGGCTGGAAATTTATGCTCTCCCTCATGCAGGAGCTGCTTGGGAGTGTGCTGCTGGGGCTCTGGGTCTCCCAAAGCCTCCTCGTCCTCCTGCACTCACCTCTCATCCTCCTGCACTGTTGAGGTGCTCCTGCCTAAGGCTCTACCTGGAGCAGATATGACATATGCTGAACAGTGGTTATTTGTCACAGCTCTGTTGCTGTTGAGGTCTGTGTTGAGATCAGATCTATGTCTGTCTTGTATCTAGGTCTGTGCAGGTTTTGACAGCTCCATGTGCTAATGGCAAAGCAGCCTTCACAGTCATAAGAGCAGAAAGGCAAATCTTCAGGTTCTGCTTTCTGCAATGTCAACAGCAAACTATAATTTCCATAAATTTTGCCCAGCTTTTAAATTCAGAGGCCCAGGGTATGTATGCAAAAGGTGTGTCCCTTTAGGTGAATCAGCACTGGGATGTAATGGGTATAAAGGGCCAAATTACTGGTTCATAGAGTGATTTAATAGAAAGGTGCACATGGATGGCTTCAGGGGCACTACTGATCCTGATGTGAGTGCATTCAGGACCTGCCTGTCCCTGCCCAGCTGTGCTACCCTCCTGGCAATCCACCTTCCCAACTGAGACCAATGCTTGTGTTTAAATGTCCAAATTGAAGCAGCTTCACAAAAGTCAGCAGAAATACCAAAACTCCACAGAATACAGCCAAACTGAGTCCAGTATGTGCAGGGTGAGGGGATACCACTCATAACACAATGGATTTTTGCAGAGGTTTGGAAAAATCAGGGTAGGAAAAGGGGAACAGGACAGTAACCCAGGTAGCTGGTCCCAGTGATTCCCAACCAGTGAGAAGTAGCAGAATGGACCAAGGAGCAAAGATGCAATGGCAGCAGCAAATGGCACTGAGGCACTCGTGATGCTCAGGATGTTGAAGGCGAAACTGGCCTCCCCCTGAAATGGAGACAAAAGCGTTTCATCATTTTTCTGACCTGCTGAGTGATTATTTATGTTTAAAAAAAATCATTAAAACTAAAGAGCTCAGTATTTTTTATTTCTTCTTTTCCAACTTGGATAAGACTCCTTTTTTTTTTTTTTATATTTGATCTCCTTTTTTCTGCATCCAAAAAAGGATGTGATGGTAAGGAAAATTAGTAGTTTGAATGTCATGAACTTATTAAAGAAAAATGCAGATTATTTTTTTTGTAATAGGGAAGACAAAGTCATTGAAACCATATTTTACTAAGAATACTGAAAGAATAAATTGGAACAGGTATACTTGTGCAGTTTGTCATATAGCATATAAGTACAATGGCCTTTAAACTTTAAACTGCTGCTTGAATACCAAAAGATTCCTCATTATAGAACAGAAAATGTGATAGGAAGTGGCAGAACCACTGCCCTGGTGGGACACCTAATGTGCACCTTCAGTGAGCCCTGCACAGCCTATTTAATCCACAATATTAACAATTAAAGTGCTTTTCTCTTCAAAAGCATCCTCCAGGTTAACTCTGCTGCTCCCCTGCTGCCTCCTGCATGTGACACCATATAGACTCCTGGCCTTGTCACCCTGCCTGATGTCACCCTGCCCTCAGCAGGATTTTGGCGTGGTTGAGCTCAGCTCTGAGGTAGGTAGGTGCAAAGTTTCACTGCTCAATCTGGTTCTGGGTGCTGAGCTCCCCTGGCTCTTGTGCCTCCTCCTTGTCCTGGCACATCCCTGCCCTGGAGGGGTTTGCTATGGAGCCAGCTCCATCCTTTGTGCCAGCTGAGAGGCTTTTCCATGCTGGGGGAAGCCTTAGAAGAGCTTTTAGGAATAATTTAAATTTCGTTTGATCCAACAACTCTGCAGGTAAAGAATTAATGCTATTAGAGCAAGCAATGACTGCAGTGCTGGAGCCTCTTGGGGAGCAGAACGGGCTCTTCTCCTCTGCCAGGCTGGAATGACTGCTCTGTGTTCCTCCCCAGTCCACTGCACAGAGAGGGGCTTGACAAGGCATTGGATCATGCACAGCAGAGGCAGAACCATGGCCCTGTTGGTGGGCATTCAAGCCCAACTTGGAGGGTACTGGAGGAAAGGCTAAAATTCACCTTTTGTGGACTCAGGAATGACATCACATCCTTTCTGTGCACAGCGTAGTCACAGAAATATTTAGTGCCAAAAGGCCACTGAAAACTGTTCTGTGCATCTCCTGTGTTTGTTGTTCCATGCTCCTGAGTGCTCTGATGCTGAGGTACCTCAGGGCACTTGGAAAGACATGGCCATCCCTCACAGAACACTGTCCATACCACCACACTGATGCTGACCACCACAGCACATCAGCTTAGTTGGGATTCTCATGCTGACAAGTGGGAAGCAGGGAAGAAATTCAGGATGCCACAAGTGGGAGGGGCTGAAGGAACCCCCAGGCAGTGCAGAAAGCAAGTTTAAGGTTATTTTAATGTCTGCTTCATCACACTGGACAAGGAGTGAGTTTGGGGTTGGTTATTCATCTGAACAGCTGTCAAAGACACAGCAGACACATGTGTTACTCACCAGGTCCCCATCAGGGCAGGGTATGTTTCATCCCTGCCCCTATTTTGGAACCAGTTTTGATTAGGGATCATGTCTGTGTTGATGATGAGGAGCTGACACACACAGGCACATGTTCATTCATTTAAATATATCAGCACTGACTCTGCCTTGCGGGGAGGAATCTTTTTCCCAGTGTAAACATCTTGGACCCACATGTATTTGTGCTCCTGACTTCAGGCTGGTGAATGGGAAGAAAAGCTGAAGATGTGCTAAAGGCAAAATCTGTGTCCAAGAACACAGAAAACAGCCCAATCTGGGCTGCGATTTCTGGTGAGACGCAGGAGACTGTATCAACACAGAACCTTGAGCAACATTGTCCTGTGGTTTGATTTCCATTCTGGCACGCTAAAATGCACTAAGACCCAGGTTTTTCATGGCATTTTCCATTTCTTGACTTGGGGAATTTGAAAAATACTTGTCTTGAGGCTGAGCCTGAAGTTATGATCTTGGCATATCCATACCATTAAATTCCCGTGGATAAAAGCAGAAACATCTGGATTCATGAGTGGATGTTGGCTAAATCCACCAGGAAAAAAAAAACCTTCAGAGGATCCTAGAGGGTTCCAGCCAGGATAAATAATACAACAAAACAAGAGTGCTATTAAGAGTAATTGTAATACTGAAGCCGAATTCTAAGATGAAGGCCAACCCCTTTCACAATCTGCTTTTCCAGTGAAGAGCCCTTCAATTTACACTTCATGCACATATGGCTGATGGAACAAAGGAAAAGTTGAAGGAGGATGAAAGCAGTGCAGAGATTATTCAGCCTTGCTGGTTTAGCTCCAGGCACATCGTTTAAATGAGTAGATGATCAGTTTCCAGTTTGTTTCAAATTTTCTGGCAAGAAATTTTACTCTCAATCCCAAAGTTGGATGTGCTTAAAACTCTTTTGTTTTTGTTTTAAGGCTCTGCCATTTTGTTTTTACTTATTAAGGCAAGATCTGGAAGCACTCTGCAGGAGACACCTGAGTGCTGGGCCTGGAGGGGCAGCCTGGTTGTGTCACTGAGGGGGCTGTGTCACTGCTCCCAGTGCCGTGGGGACCCTGGGACTGGGGAACAGTTGCTCCTTTTCCCCCCACCTCTGGGAGGATGAGCCCTGCCTTACTGAGCCATGTTATACCTGAGCTCTGCAGCACTTAAAGCCACGGGAAATGGCCTAAACTGTTGGTGATTAAAAAGTAAGCTGTATGTTGCTGAAAATGCCCTTAGCAGAGCATTTCTCATGACCTGTACTTTGCCCCTGCAAATCTGCCCTACCCTCACTGACTTTGCACGTCACCCGTCCCGATTCCTGGAAAGCCTTGGACATTTGCCCACTCTGTAACCTTCAGTCAATGCAGCTTGAGGTGAGTTGCTTCCTTGTGGAATAAAAATCCCATCGGTCAGTCCTTGTCCCATCCTCCTTTTTTGCTGCCCTCTTCTTCTCTGTTGTCCATACCACAGCTGAGCTGAGAGAGCTGATCTGTTGGTACCACTCCAGTAGGTCATTCTCCATGGATAGGCTCTAGGTTGTCCATCATGGAGATGTTTCCTATGATGTACTATCAATGCTTATCACTCCCTGAATTCTGCCACTAGGCTCTGAATGGTGGGATACACATTTGGGGTGAGGCAATGCTTGAAGTATGACTGGAAATACCAGTGATACACAAATAATGATGTTCAGGCTGCCATATGTTCCATAGAAGGAATAATCCTGTTTACACTGCAAGGAGTGGGAGTTTAATTTGCCTTAAAATAACCTCAACGTATCTAGGAAATCCATAAAAAGGATCCCTGGTATTTCTTAGGACATTATTTTCAGCAGATCTTGTTATTTAATTTGCTGCCAACATCTGTCATTTCCTCCACTGTCAATTTTCCAGCACCCACAGGCTGGGTCTGAACTAAAAGCTGACAGGACCTAACACAAAAAAAAACTAGTGCTGCTTCCCGTTAGCATCTTGGCCATCAAAGTAAAATGAGGAAATACATCTGCTCATAGATGTTACAAAATATTTGTTTTAGATTAGCTGCTGTCCCTGCCACTGTCCATGCTGGCAGTTGTGTTCCTCCACCCAGCTGCAAGGCAGCAGGAAGGTCTGCTGGTTAGGAACAAACAGTGTGAGAAGCTGAGGAATGAGAGATGGAGCAGAGCTAAATTTAGAAGCTCAGATAGGAAAATACCTCTATCTTCAGTGCACTGTGGTTTTACTTTGCACCAAGCACACCTTGGTGTTGCATGGCTGTTTGCACATTGTACAGACTCTAAGAAGGCTTGTGGGAAAAAGGCTTTGATGTCTTCAGTAAACAAATAGCAGCGTTAAAAGATCTCCAGTTCTTGTTAGCATGCTGCAAACAGCTATGTTTGAAGAAAAATAAACATCCCAAGGTTGATGGAAGGGTAGGGAAGCCATAAAGTACTGCAGTCAACTCCTTGGTGTGAGGACAGCAGAAATGACAGTGCCATGAAAAAAACTTTTTCATTCTCCTTGGGATTAAAAAGAAAAGAACAAACTGTGTCTGGGTTTACCAGTCACGTGGTGGGAAAACCCCTTGGCTAAGTCACTGCATCCAAATCACAAGAATAATATCAAATCTACTGGCAAACCAAGGGTAGGATTCCCCTGGAGATCTCTTTCTCCAGCCACTGGGGTGAGGGGGAGAAGATGTACCCTTCCTGCAATCCCCACTTTGACTTGGCTTTCTCAGTACTTTGCCTGCTACCACAGGGCCACCAGCACCTCCAAACCCCTGCAGCTATGGGACCTCATCCCAAAAACCTTACCAGCTTTTAAGTTAGGCAAACAGTCAATTTCCATAAGGAGGCACCAGGCACACATCACACACCTAGTAAGGAGGATGAGGGTTTCAATCCTTGTGCCTACCTGAGCTTTTAGCCCATAAAGCTTGTTCTACTTGTCTCCTTGGTCACTTAGAGCATCCCTTTGGAAACACAAAAGCTTAGGAAATAAACCAAAGAAAAGCACTGAGCCATGATCTCAATTGCACCAGCATAATCCTGGGAATCTAAATTTACATTTACACCCATTTAAAAATCCAAATTAGGGTCAGAAACAGAAAGTCTGGGGTTTCCCTGTGAAGGGAAATTCAAAATCAGCAGGTCTTGATAATAATCAATACACTGATATTTACTGCAAATTTAAACCTGATCAAGAGTCTCCAAGGAACCTCTTGCTTTAGTTTCATGTGATGCTAAGCATTTCTCTGTGTAAAGATAGTTCAGAGGAACTAGGAAATAAATAATTCAGACATAGTTGACTTTTTAATGTCTCTGTAACATCTTTCCTTTGATAATAATTTTGTTCTGCCTACCAAAGTTCTATTCCAAATGGGACTGGCAAGACAAACACTCCATCTAAAGCACCAGGGCTTATAAGGG